CGGGGCAGGCTCTCACACCCTCCAGATGATGCGTGGCTGTGAAGTGGGGCCGGACGGGCTCTTCCTCGGCGGGTACATGCAGTTAGCTTACGACGGTGCGGATTACGTCGCCCTTGACGAGGACTTGAGCTCCTGGGTCGCGACGGACACTGTGGCCCAGAGGACACAGCGCAAGTGGGTGGAGGCAGGCGTAGCAGAGCAGGACAGAGCCTACCTGGAGGAGGAGTGCGTGAAGTGGCTCGGCAGATACCTGGAGAACGGGAAGGAGAGCCTGCAGCGCGCAGGTACCGGCCCTGGAGACCTCCCATCCGCGCTCTGGCCGGGCAGCTCCTCCAGGGAGGAAAGCGGGACCCTTCCCGCAGCACCGCGGGCCTCTCCCTGCACGGGAAGAGCGCTCCTGGGACTTCACAGCTGAGAGCAGGGCGCTGTCCTGAGCCCCTTCTCTCAGGAGAGGAGAGTCTGTCCCAGCATGGAGGGAGGACCCCGAGGTGCCCCTCACCCTGCCCTTCAGGAGTCTGTGCACCTGCCCTCTCTCGGCCTGTCCCTGCCCACACCCGGGGTCTTTGGAGATCTGACTTCACCCGTTCAGGTCTCTCAGTCTCCACCTCTCCAGACAGAGGTCTCTTCCCTCCCCAGACACCTGCAGTCTCCTCCCCTGGGCCCACTCGCCCAGAGTCTAGAACTGTCTAAGGAAGAGTATCCCAGATGCCTGTGTCTAGCCAGGTTCACAGTACCCCAACCCTCCTGTCCTGTCTGTTCTCAGGGTGGTCACATGGCACTGCTACAGTGGCCTACGAGGGATGCAAAGTGCCTGAATGTTCCCCTCTTCCCTCAGATCCCCCAAAGACACACGTGACTCACCACCCCATCTCCAAAGAAGGGGTCACCCTGAGGTGCTGGGCCCTGGGCTTCTACCCTGAGGAGATCACCCTGAGCTGGCAGAGGGATGGGCAGGACCTGACCCAGGACATGCAGCTGGTGGAGACCAGGCCCGATGGGAGTGGAACCTTCCAGAAGTGGGTGGCTGTGGTGGTGCCTCCTGGAGAGGAGCAGAAGTACACGTGCCGTGTGCAGCATGAGGGACTGCCTGAGCCCCGCACCCTGAGATGGGGTAAGAAAGACATTTATGTCTGATATCTAGGACATCCCCAAACTCTCAGGTGCTCCCAGGTGGGGTTTGTGGGAGGTGCTCGATGTATGACACTAGGTCAAGGGAATGAGAGTGGATCATTCCACTAATGGAGTCTACATCACTCTGGATGTGGCCCAGTACATTAAGGAATACATCAGGCACAGCCTGGGTGTAAGTGGGTTTCCACCAGCAAGCTTACAGCCCAGATATGGTTAAGAACTCAGGCTTTGGGCTGGGGAGATGGCTCAGTATAATAAGTGCTTCCCTGGCAAGCATAAGGGTCTGAGTTCAATCTCCGGTTCTGCCAAAAAAAAAAAAAAAAAAAAAAGAACTCAGGCTTGTGGCTGGCTGCTTGCTCCCTCCTACCTGCCAAGCCATGGGCTGTTTCTCTTCTGTGATGCCCCTGCCTGGCCTCCCTATCTTAAAGCCTCCTGGCTGTGGACTGAATCTCTATAAACTGAGCAAAAATGAACCTTTCTTCCCTTAACCTGTAAGTGTGGGGTATTTTGTCTCAGCAAAAAGTAACTAGGCCAGGGGGGAAGGGACAGAGGCGCTCGTGTATTGGTCAGAAGTCTTTCAGGAGACTCACTTTGCCAGACACCAGAGCTGCCGTCAGAGCCCTTAGTCGCTGTGTCATTGCTGTGACGCAGTGTCTGATACCTGCACAGTAAAGAAGAAGGAGTTTCTTTTGCCTCCCAAGTCTGTAGAGGTTTCCATGTTCCAGTCAGAACTTCAGGGCAGAGGGCCTGGCCCTGGAGAGCTGCTCACAGCCGGGCAGACAGGAAGCAGAGAGCAGTGGGGAGCCCAGGAGAAGGGCAGCCTGACCAGCCACAGCACTGTGACCCTCCTCTTCCCCACACCCCGCTCCTAATCAGGTCAGCACTGAGTCCCACAGTGCAGCTTCCACATTCCCCACATCTGCATGAGGCTTTGGAGTCCATCAAGATCTAAAAACTAACAGCTCCTCACCTCCCTTTCCTTTCTTTCCACTTCCCTCCCCGCCCTTCCCTTCCCTTCCTCTACCCCCTCCCCTCCTTCTCTTCCCTCCCCTCCCCTGCCCTCCCCTCCTTACCTTTCCTTTCCTTCCCTTCCCTTCCCTTCCCTTCCCTTCCCTTC